AATCTTATTCTCTAATAGTCGTCGTTCTGCTTGCCACAGATCACACGTGAAGAAAGTGTGTTCTGCACTGTCGACGTCGTGTCCGCAGCCGAGGTAGTTAGTGCTTGCTACCTTTCCCTGCTTGTACAGGTAAGATCGAAAGTACCCGTGTCCGGACATCAGTTGGGTAAGGTAATAGTTTACCTCCCCGTGGCCCCTTTCTATCCACTCTTTAAGTTTTGGCAACAGGCGTGCGGTCCACCTGCCTCGGTGGTCCCCTTCGTACCTCTGTTGCCACTGGTCGACAGTTGCAGTCCTTTCCTCTGCCGCTATCTTTACTCTGTCCAAGGCTTGGCCAGTTCCTTCTGCGTCGCGTCTTCTTTCGTAAAGCGTCTTCCGCTCCAACGCCAGCAAGTCTACTGGGATAACTCCCGCAATAGCTAATACCGCAGGCTCTGATACCGTGCGGTATGCACTACTAATTCTGAGAACAGCCCTACGCTGGACTCGAGCTATTTTTATGCGGTAAACTTCCTTTTGCGGTGTCTCTCCCTATATCTCCGATCCGTAGAGTAGGATGGAGTCTGTGACTGACATTAAAAGTTTCCTCTTGCTGGCCCTGGAGCCGCCGACGTTTCTCATTAGTCGGCTGAGCGATTGTGTAACCGCCGATGCCTTATCCGCTGCTTTTCTGATGTGTTCACCGAAACTCATCTTCGAGTCTAGGGTGAAACCCAGATATTTAATGTGCTCCTTCGTCTCGATATCGAGGCCCTCAACATGCATCTCTTGGATGTTATCGAAGGTAGCCCTATGCCTCCTTGTGAGGAAGATGAGCTCGGTCTTTTCAGCCGCAAGATCCAGGCCGTGGTCATCCAGCCATCTCCTGAGTATCCGTATTACGCTGGATAATTTCCACTGGATTTCCCCCTTGTTTCTTCCTGTGATGACGATTGCTATATCGTCTGCGTAGCCTATCAAGTAACACCCATCGGGCAGTTTCAGTCTCAGGATATCATCATACGATATGTTCCACAGCTCTGGTCCCAGGATTGACCCTTGTGTGGCTCCAACGGTTACTTTCTTAACTCTCATACCGTCTCTGGTTTCATATAGGAGCTGTCTGTCGTTGAGATAATCGTAGATAGGGGGGGACGTTATATTTATCTCTCAGAGGACTCACCATGTTTTCCCATGCGGCCGAGTTGAACGCGTTCTTGATGTCGATAGTTGCAAGTAGTACAACCTCCTTCGAAAGTTGGTTCTTATGTTCTTATGTTTCTTTCTGAAACGTTTCTCTTACTACTGCAACTGCGTCGGCCGTGGATTTGCCCCTGCGAAATCCAAATTGTCTTTCGGAGAGGTCTCCTCCAGCCAATACAGCTGCCTGAAGTCTAGGTCTGATGAGCTTTTCTAGCACTTTGCCCGCTGTGTCCAGCATGCACAAAGGACGATTGCCCGATGCACTATTTGGGTCACCTTTCCCTTTGCCTATGAGCACCAGTTTCTGCCTTTTCCACCTTTTTGGAAAACACCCTGTTTTCAGGCATGCGTTGTACATGCGCAACAAGGTGTAGGGCGCTATTTCTCTGACCAGCTTCAGAATTTCAGAAGGGATTCCGTCGGGCCCTGGGGCTTTCTGGTTCTTCATGGATCTCACTGCTGTTTCCAGTTCTCTTTCGGTGAAAGAGGGGATCTCGTCAGCCTGGACTTCTACTTGATGGATCTGCCTCTCTTCGTGTTCTGGAAATAGTGTTGCGACTATTTCGTCCATCACTTCGGTGTCGCGTGATGGTGGTTTTGCGTACTTTCCGAGTTTCTTTAGTACGATTTTGTAACCCAGGCCCCACGGATCATTATCCACTTCGGCACAGAGAGCTCTCCAGTGCGATGATTTACTCTTCTTGATGGCTAGGCCGAGTAGCTTTCTTGCTTTTCTCTCGTCCACCTTACGCGCTTCTATCTCATTCCGATCATTTCCTCTTCTTGCTCGTTGAGTTCTTCTTCTCAGGCGCTGGCACTCTCTTCGTAGATCCGCGATCTCATTATTCCACCAGTAGACTGGGGGTCTTCCTTTTTTGTCGTCCTTCCTTGGCATTGACGCCGCGCAAGTACGCTCGAAGAGTTCCATTGTTGCTTCCACGAGGCGTTCCGCATCTTCTGTACTTTCCGCCGGCATTTCCGCTAATGTTTTTTCTCCTTGCTGTATCACTGATCTGAACTTTACTTCGTTCAGCTTCGCTAGATTCCATCTAGGGGCACGCTGTTGTTTTCTTCTCTGCTGGGATTGGCCAGTGGAGAAGGTGATGATCGCTATTGTTAAATTCATCTAGTACTCCCCAGTCATTTATAGATCCTGCTATATCTTCTGAGGCAAAGGAGATATCAGGCACAGTCTCTCTTTGGCTGTCTCTTCTGAATGTTGTTGTACCGTCGTTCAGCACCTCCAGTCCGAGTCTGGCTGCCATATCCAAGACCTTTTGTCCTCTCGAGTTGGTCTCCGCCGATCCCCATTCCAGGGCACTAGAGTTGAAGTCTCCTCCGAGGATAATGCTGCCTTGCATGTTTCGTAGCACGTCCTCCATTCCGTCGAGGTATTCGTCGATACTGTCTGGTTTGCCGGGGGTGATAGGTCTGAAGTAGCAGCTCACGTAGGTGATCGTGCCGCTTCTGATCCAAGCGAATCCGTTCCCATTGCCTCTATCGTCTATAGTCAGGTGGTCTGGCTCTGGAATCCAAACCGCAACCTTGTGCAGCTTATCCGCGATCCAGTTCGATCCGTCTATTTGTGCTGTGCCAATTTCGCTTATCAGTGCGATGTCCACCTTTTTTTCTTTGACCATTACCTGTAGTAGAGCGAAAGTCGCAGGGCAGCGACGGATGTTTCCTTGTACTACCCTTGTCATCTTCTTGCTGTCTTAAAGTTAGGCTTCCCCCATGCCTCGCGGTAGGTCTTACATTTTCCTGTTCCCAGACCGTGCTTCGTGTCCTCTTCTGGTACTCCCGCGTCTATGCAGGCAATACATTTTTCTTCCTTTGTGCAAGCTCCTGCCTTATGCCCTATTTCAGCGCATTTGTAGCAGTAATCTGTTCTGTCTGGGCCTTTACACGTGTACGACGTATGCCCGAACCCAAGGCATTTGTAGCACCGTTTTACGGGATTGTACTGCCTGATCCTGCAGCTAAAGGGGCCTACGAGTAAGACTTTCATTTTCATGAAAGTAACCGCATTCCTAGCTGGTAAGTTAACAAAAGATATCACCTGTTCCCTCTGATTAGGGTTCGAGAGTTTCACTACAGGATCTTCAGCCAACCCCGGGATGGCCTTTTTTACTGCTGTTTGGACCTGCTCTACTGTATTTCCGCTGTTTAAGTCGAAGACCCTGACAGTGGTCGTAGCCGGTACGCTTTCTAATTGGCCGGTGGCTTTAACAGCTGTTGTCAGGGCGTTAGCAGCAGCGGTGGTACTCCCAGTCTTACCTTTAAACTTTATCAGCAAAGCTCCACTCCGTGTTTTGCTGTACTTATCAATCTTTGGTCCCTCCTCAGGTTTCGTAACCTCGTTAATACTTTTGAGTATATCCGCGAACGATTTTCCTGGTGCGGGTTTGATAATTACCGCATCTTGTGGGGGTCTCGGCTTTCTCCTTCTGTTCTTCTTCTTTTTCTTCTTTTTCTTCTGCTGGCGTTCTGATACGGGTATTCCCTGTGCCGCTTGCCTACCTAGGTTAGCGCTATTCCTTTGTGCGCGTTGCAAGAGCTGATGTTGCTTGCGGCGGTCTCTTGGGTTGAGTTCCCAACCGCCATCCTCTGAATCCCCGAATATCGAGGATGCTGACGATGGAGGTTTGTTTCCATCTTGGGACCAAACATCGCACGTCGTAAAGGACGCTGCACTTTCGGTCCTAATTCTGGGCACGTTTGCTTGCAGTTGGAGGCCCTTTGCAGGCCTGCTCTTCTTGTCCTGCTGTGAGCTCCCACCCGGTGGGCTAGAAGGCTTCCTCTTTGGTCGTTGTGCTTTGGCCTGTTCTCCGCTTTTCAGAATTTCTTCCGCCCGGCGCAGAAGTTTTTGGCCATCTGCTTCTCGCCTTTTGTACACGTACTGCAGCTCTTGCACGGCTTGCTGCAGCTGAGGTGTGCCTTCTTTGATGGGTTGTGCAATGTTCTTCTGCCTTTCCATTGCTTTTTGGAACCCTTCAAGTATCTCCAGCATCTTTTTGAGGCTCGCCTGTATGAGCTGGTCTGACTCTTGTACTGTCTCTTGGTGCCTGGTCAATAGCTCAACGATCCTGTTTTGGGATATTATATGCGGGGTCCCACCCCCTAACGTTTGGGATTTTTGATACGGGGTTCCCTCCCCTAGCGTTTGTACATCCTTCATTGACAGATTTATTGTGGCGCCACCAGAAACCGTTGGGCCACTGCCGTTGCTCACCCGGGCTCTCACCGGATCGGAAGCATCGGACGGATTGGGTACCGCCTGGTTTACCTCGTTATTTTTTTTTTTTGTCCAATTTCTAGCGACGATTGCTTATTCGTCATCTTCGTGCCGAAGGTGCTTATATCGCAACTAGCCAGAATAACTATTGGCCGTTACCCGGTCCGCTACGCCGGGAGACGTGCTCAGATGTGGTGGGACTTCCTGATCTGAGGTTCTCTTGATCTCTTGAGTCTGAAGTTATGTTTGTGTCTGTGTGTTGTGTTGTGCCTATGTGCGCGTCTGTGTGTTTATGTGTGTGTGTGTGTGTGTGTGTGTGTGAGTGTGTGTATGTGTGTGTGTATGTGTGTACGTGTGTAAGTGGTAGTTGGTCCACGGGAGGTATTTTATTTCCCTCCAACCCTCTCCCCGCTGACACGTCAGTGGTGAGCGGGCTTCCCCCATCGGCCATTAGGGTTCGCTCCACATACGCGGTTACCACATCCGCGCGCGGATAATAATAATAATAATAATAATAATAATAATAATAATAATAATAATAATAATAATAATAATAATGCTATTATTTTTTGACATTGAACAGGTACGTAGTAGAGTTGCTAATTTGAGAGATTCGAAAAATCCTACTTTGAGAACTAACTTCATTGTAGGTGCAATAACCCCAGCTAGACTAGCTGTGATGACAGCAGAGGAAATGGCTAGTGATGAAATCAAACAATTAAGGGAACAATTCAAAAAAGAAGCTATTAATGATGCTCAACTAGCTACGGTTCAAGGAACAAAAACAGATTTATTGAAATGTGGTAAATGTAAGAAACGAAACTGTACTTATAATCAAGTGCAAACACGATCTGCTGATGAACCCATGACGACTTTTGTATTGTGCAATGAATGCGGAAACCGATGGAAATTCTGTTAAATTTTTCTTACATTTAAACAGTTCGGTACAATAAATATATTGGTGATATTTGTAGAAATGACTTTTTTGATAATATCTATCAATCATTTCAGTTAATTCAGTCGAAACGATATGTACTTTATTTATTTCAAAATTTAATATTATTTGACTTTTCTTAAATGATATTAGATACTTCTAAATAAATTTGTAATCAAATCAATAAATAATTATGAATGATATTGTAATATATACAGCTGGATACCTCTATTCTATTAACAATTTTTATTATAATTCGTTTTCGAATTGTGTATGAAGAATTATAAGGATTAAGGTCTCACTTGTTATATCTATCTCTTTACGTACATGAATAATAATAAATATTTTATTGTACATTTTCAAAAGGATAGGAGAAAATACTGCAATATAAACTAAACTTATAAATGAGATAGAGAGACAAATAGAATAAGCCCTTGTATTTTGTTTACTCACATCTCAAACGTGAATATACAAATCACACGGTGTAATTTACTAAGGCATAATTTTTACAGAACTGTCCCTTTGACCTGTTATTGAATTTGCGTAAATGCGTATTACGAAGAGTCCTGGTTACACCTAGACTTTTGCGAGGATTCCAGTGCTTGTAAGTGCCTATAGATTATTTTATTCTCTCTCTCTCTCTCTCTCTCTCTCTCTATCTCTTTCTCTCTCTATCTCTTTCTCTCTCTCTCTCTCTAGTTTTGTGCTCAACCATTTTGCATGAAAATACGCTTTATTTTTATGTATCTATTTTCTCTTTTATTAATTCTAACTCTATTATCAAAGTAACGAAGAGTTATTTTGATGGTTACGTCTCTCTTTTATATAGATTTTTTCAAATTTTTTTTTCGAAAAATAGTCATAAATACCGAAGATATTGCTGTAACAGGATTTTGGGGGTGGCTTTTGATGGTGGTTTTCAGACCCAAAATTCCTTTTCTAGCACAACAACAGTATAATTCTCTCATCAATTTTTACGCGTCATAGCAAATGAAAAATCAGTGAAATTGGTGATTGGCAACTATTTATATAGCAGTAGTAGGGTTTAGGGTTGGTTCACCCTCGAAATATTGAATAAGGAAAAAAACTCCGAAGTTGGTCAATATTATTTTATCATTTTCTAGATGAAAATTTATTTTTTAATTGTTATGATAATTTCGTGATTTTTTACGCGAAAAATTTAATCAAAAAGGTTGTTTTTTCCCTTTACATCGTAGGGGTTGCAACACCTAGAGACAAAATCTATATAGTTAAATTCACTTTTTTATAACGAATTTTTGAAATTTTTTGTTGTGGAAAAATATTGATATAAACCGAAAATATTGATGAAATATTGTTTTAGGGGTAGTTTTTGAGGGTGGTCTTCAGCCCTTACATTTATTTTCCTACAGACTAACAGTGTCATTGTCTAACCCATTTTTAAACATCATAGCATATGGAAAATCAGCAAAATTGATGATCGGCAACTATTCATATAGTATTAATAGGAATTAGGGGTAGTTTACTTTCCAAATACATAAAAATGAAAAAACGCCGAAACATGTGAATTTTATTTTATCATTTCCTAGATGAAAATTTATTTTTCAATTTTTTAATGATAATTTTGTGATTCTGTACACGAAAAATCCACTCAAAAATGTAATTTTTCCAAAACGTCAACAATCAGCTTTCATTAGATATAGTTTTAATACAGGTAAAACATTATGATGAAAGCAAAGTAAAAATATCTATTTAGGATACAAATAAAATATAGTACACTAGATATTGAACAGCGAGTGCAATGATTACATAATTAACGATGAATTTAAAGTTAATCACGGGCGGGTCCAGCCGCCCGTGCACACGTAGGTGCTGTGCAGCTTTCATTTTCAGCTCCAAGCTACTTATCTCGTTCTTAAATCATTTACTACTCGCTTTGCTCCATATTTCAATACCAGCAAACTTGCACGTTTACTTTAGCTTGTCTCGATCATTGCTTTGTTTTCGCGTGTATTTCTACTTTGTTCAGTTAACATTTACTTTGCCACGCTCAGATTGATGCGCTACACCTTTTAAAGCGGTTGTAATATTCTTTTATTACAGGGTGTCCAAAAAGTAACGATACACCTGAGAAATTTTCTAAGCCGGTTATTTTTTTAACCGGGTGAAGGTTGTTCTTGAAGTAACTTTTTACGAGGAATCCGATGGTAACCTTGGATTTGACCTTGAACCTCATTTTCAAGGTTATTTTGAGGTCAACCTCATTTTTTTAAATGGAAACCCCTATTTTTTATGGCGGAATCGGAAAGAGCGGAAAATTTTACGTCCAGATATGTATTGAGGTATGAGGTTGAGGTAACCCTTAGAGGTCAACTGGAGGTCAAAGTATGAATTCTTAAAAATCTCGCGAATTCAGTGGTTAAACAAACAAACAAAAGGATAACCCCAGGTAACTTTCAACGGTGCTCTTTAATTTGTCCTTGAACCTCATTTTCAATTATTTTATGTTATTTTGAGGTCAACCTCATTTTTTTTAATGGGTACCCCTATTTTTTATGGCGGAATCGAAAAAAGTGAAGACTCTCACGTATGGATGAGTTGAGGTTTGAGGTTAATGTGACCTCTAGGGGTCAGATGAAGGTCGAACTGTGGCTTTGTAATAGTACCGGGATTTTAGTGGTACAAGGAAGCAAATAAAGGTCATGGAAACCCCCATTTTCGACAGCGGCAATCGAAAGAGCGAAAATTTCACATCCAAATATCTACTTAGATCATAAGTCAAGGGCGAACTTAAAGTTTAAGGTCAGTCGAAGGTCATCCAAACTTAAAGACGCCCTAAAATTTTTTAAAGTTTTTTTCATAATGGAGAAGGGTATTTATTTAGTAATCGCCCATTGGAGATCCGTAACCTTGAATTTAACCTTCAACCTCATTATCAAGGTTTTTTCAAGATCAATTTTTTTTACTTTTAGCATTACCCAGGAACAACGACGTGGACGTAGTAAAATCTGTCCCCTTGGGGTGCTTTATTTTCGTGAGTTCCCCTGGCCTCTCACGTATGATTTATCTTACATCAGCACATCTTATTTTAAGTGCTCGAATTGTTCACCGTTCACTTCTTGACAGTAAGCTAATCGGTGGTAAAAAGCATCAACAGCATTTTGGATCATTTCAGTGGGAATGAGAGCTGATTCGTCTATGATCCTTTGACGTAATTCGTCCAAGTTTTGGGGTTTAGTTTTGTATACTCGATCCTTTAGATAACCCCAATAGAAATAATCTAAAGGCGTCAAATCGGGGGACCTAGCTGGCCATTCAATTGTGCCTCTCCTTCCTATCCACCGATTATCAAACACCTCATCTAAGTAAATTCGAACGTCTCGTCCATAGTGAGCTGCAGCACCATCCTGCTGATACCATGTATTTTCGAAGTTGTCTCCGACTATTTCTCTAATTGCTGGAACTATTTGATTACGAAGCATCTCTTCATAATTTTGAGCGTTTAAGTTACCATCAATAAAGAATGGCCCTATGATTCGATTATTCACTATTCCAGCCCAAACATTCAACTTCTGCGGATATTGCGATTTATCTTCTCGCATCCAGTGTGGATTTTCCGCAGCCCAGTACCTGCAATTATGTCGATTTAATGTTCCGTCAAGGCGAAAAGTTGCTTCATCAGAGAAAACTATGTTTGATGGAAGATTTGGATTTTGAATTATGCGTGCCATCATATCTTCACAAAACTCAACACGACGATCGAAATCGTCTTCATTCAACTTGTGAACCAGGTGTACTTTAAACGGATGGAATTTTGCTGTTTTTAAAATGATATGTACGGACGATGTACTTATGTCATGCTCTTGAGCAACTCTGCGGATGGAATTATGTGGATTTTCAATGAATGATAATAGAACATTTAATAAATTCTTTTCATTTGTTGCTGAGCGTGGTCTGCCTGACTTAGGTAGATTTCTGACATGGCTAAAATTTACAAACCTTGAAATAGTATTCTGAACAGTAGACACAGCAATTGGAGTTCTATTAACCCGAAATGTCTCGCTAAAAAGATTTCTCACTGCCCTGTAAGATCTTTCTACTCCACCCCAGCCTCTCATCATAAGAAGTGATATTCTTTCTCGTTCAGTGAGGCGTTCCATTTTAAGTCAGCGAATCGACATTTACTCAAAAATCAATCAGAATTAAAAACAAAAAGTTTGCAACCCAAATAAATGTTTTCAAAAAATGAAAATTATAATTTGAGTACTTTTACAAAAAAGTTCTACTACAGTCCGACTAATGCACTAATGCTTTATGGAGATTTTCGAATGGTAAAATCTTTTCAAATATGTTGCTTTTTTAAATATTAATTTTTGAAAATGCAATTGTCCCGAAGAATAAGCTCAAAACGATAAAGTTAGGCATAGTACATTTCCTAAGGATAGAACCAAGTGAAATTGTTAGTGGATTTTCAATGAATAGGTATGGGATAGTAACCTTAAAAAGTTTAACCGGCTAATCAAGTTAATAAGAAAATAAGCGTAAAAAATCATTGTTGATAGGCGAGGGGAACTCACGAAAATCAAGCACCCCGATCGTGAGAGGCGAGGGGAACTCACGAAAATAAAGCACCCCAAAGGGACAGATTTTACTACGTCCACGTCGTTGTTCCTGGGTAACGCTAAAAGTAAAAAAAATTGATCTTGAAAAAACCTTGAAAATGAGGTTGAAGGTTAAATTCAAGGTCACGGATCTCCGATGGGCAATTACTAAATAAATACCCTTCTCCATTATGAAAAAAACTTTAAAAAATTTTAGGGCGTCTTTAAGTTTGGATGACCTTCGACTGACCTTAAACTTTAAGTTCGCCCTTGACTTATGATCTAAGTAGATATTTGGATGTGAAATTTTCGCTCTTTCGATTGCCGCTGTCGAAAATGGGGGTTTCCATGACCTTTATTTGCTTCCTTGTACCACTAAAATCCCGGTACTATTACAAAGCCACAGTTCGACCTTCATCTGACCCCTAGAGGTCACATTAACCTCAAATCTCAACTCATCCATACGTGAGAGTCTTCACTTTTTTCGATTCCGCCATAAAAAATAGGGGTACCCATTGAAAAAAATGAGGTTGACCTCAAAATAACCTTGAAAATGAGGTTCAAGGACAAATTAAAGAGCACCGTTGAAAGTTACCTGGGGTTATCCT